CTCAGTTTGCATATTTCCAGTTAGTACCCATCGCCTGCTCGATGTATTGCTGCTGCTGGTCACTCAGATGTCCGTTTGCCTCTTCACGAATACTCTCCACACTGCTACGCGTTCGTCCATCATTTGTCAGCAAGGGCCCTTCGCAGTAGCTTTGAGGAAATCCCCTTCGCAGTAGATTAGAGCAGTAAGCAAGTCGAATCTGTGATTTCCGGGGATTTTGTATCATTTCGAACGATACATTCTTCGAAGTTATCTGTCTGGTCAGTTATTTGTTGGATGTGTTGCAGATTTTCGATAACAGTTCGTTGGTTCAAGTGCACCGTCGTGTGCTGCTGAAAACCAATATGATTGATAGCGTTATCGAAACATATCCGGAGGGTGAGGTGCCCAAAGAGCTCGAACAACGAAAAATCGAAATTCTCAGCCAGGTGGTCATTCTGCTGAGATAGTAATAAAGTGAAGCGGCTGCTAGAAGGCCAAATCGTAGTGTTAAAAACGAGTGGAGGACGGTGCTAAAAAAAAAGGACAAAGTTTGGAGCAGACGAAGTGAGAAGCTCGAGATTTGCTCACAGTGCGCTGAGCAAGTTTCCCGGAACAGCTCATCATGCACAGTTTGCTTTTCCCACAGTGCTGCTGCTGCTGCTGCTGCTGCCCAGTTCGACTCGTAATTCTTCTGCAGCAATTACGAATTCACCGGCTCTCCTAACAGAAACGTTTGATAAGCTTTTGGCTCTTATTGGTGGTACGTGATGAGCATCACCATCTCCTCTCGAAAATTGCTAATTTTTGATCGTAGTAAGGCATCTAACTGATCTGGAGGAAGCTCTTTGCAGCGTGAAAAACTAAAAGTGAAAGTGGATCCGGTGGTGGAGATTTTGGAATCGGAACCAGTGAAAGCAATGATGGATACCCGAGAAGTGACCAACAGTCGTATTCTCGATTACGTCACCACAAATTATGGGGTACATTCATTCTTGGCTTTGTTCCCATGTTTTTTCTTTTATCTCCAGATAAGGCTCGATTTTTCGTCGCTGGCAAATGCTGTGACAGTTTGTTGTTGCTTGCAGACAGTGCAGGTGAAATTATTTCATAACAGCATTTGAATGGTGTTGAAGATTTTGCCCGATTAATCCGATCTCTGATGCACTTATGTCACCTTGATTTACTGGGACCTGGGGACGAAACGGCTCTGGGATAGTGCATTTGCAGTTTACCGAGGAGATGCTGGATTCGTTGTTTCGATACGCAAAGTTCCAGTACGAATGTGGTAACTATTCGGCCGCATCGCTCTGCCTGGATTACTATCGCAACATTGTGCCGCAGCAGAATCCCAACTATCTAAGCGCATTGTATGGAAAATTAGCTTCCGAGATACTGTTGCAAGTGAGCTTCTCCCTTGACCTTTTCGCTATTACATAACCGTATCCTTACATGATTTTGTTTGCTTCGCATTGCTTGGTACCTTTTGCTGGTAATTGTGGCCCCAGAAATATTTGCTTATTATTCCACTAGGAATGGTCACATGCCAAGGATGATTTGACAAAGCTTCGCACCTACATTGACTTTAATCCTTTCGACACGGAGCTGGAATCAGTGCAGCAAAGAGCATGGCTAATGCACTGGGCACTTTTCGTGTATTTCAATTATCCGAAAGGGCGAGACGAAATTGTTGAGATGTTCTTAAACCAGCAGCCATATCTCAATACCGTACAGGTAACCTCAATACTTGAATCGGCCGCAATTTACTTTTCTAGCAGTGTAGTTGACCAAAAGTCAGCCTGCTGGCGATCCTAACTGCTCTTCTTTCGAACAGATTAATTGTTGATGCGAAGATTTCGTGGAAAAACTGACTGCTGAAATCAGTGTTTAGGTGGCATGTCCTCATTTGCTGCGATATTTGGCCGTGGCAGTTGTGACGAGTAAAACGAAACAAAAGAATAGTTTGAAAGATTTGATCAAAGTGATCGACATTGTAAGTTGTAGCGTTTCTTGATTTTTTGATAAGCTGCTCCATCATCATCGCCAGGTTCTTTTTCCCTCACGGACGGCTCTGCAGTTCCAATTTCTCCATTCTTCTCTACTTCAAGCGTATCGTACCCACGTAACTTGTCTCACACGCACTTACGTGGGTCCACCTCAACGTATGTGATGCTTTTTTCAGGAACGCCATAATTACGAGGATCCGGTCACTGATTTTTTGACATGCCTCTACATAAAGTACGATTTCGATGAAGCCCAGAAGAAGCTACGACAGTGCGAAGATGTATCGGTGTTTGACACTTGCGTTTTTTTTTTTTTTTTTTTTAATGAGGGAGAGGGGAGGGGTGCGCAAGCAGTGCATCAAGAAGCGGGAAAGTAGTGGATAAAGCAAAGAATGGAAGATAGGGGATGAGAAGAGGGGATCTCTAAATCGAAATGTTTCGGCCCATCATTTCATTTCGTGTAGTTTCCCTTCCAGAGCCTCTTCATGTTCCTAACTGGTCATCTTTGCTGATTTATTATAGTAGTATGTGAAATTTCTTTCAAACTGGAATTAGACAGTACGATTTCGCCAGTGCGAAAGCCACTTCCCATATGGTCCGTTGTTTTTATTTGCTAGTAAATTGGCACTGGCACGTGCGGGGATGTCGTACTCGATGCATCTCTGCTCGAGTCTGTGTTTCACTGGTGATCGGTTTGCTACTGCTAATCCCTACCACCGTTCCTCTGCTTCTTCCCTTATTTAGTCGAAAGGAGTGCTGGATGAGCGCATTTCCTATTTGGTTCGTTAGCTTTTCTGTTAGCATTCCTTCATCATCCCTTATTGCTTGTATCATGAGCACGGGGAATCTTAAAAGCTCCTGAAACGTTACATTCGGACGCTGAGTAACATTATGGATATCTTCAGCGTAACAGTCCGTTGAGGCTTTCAGGTTCTTTCAAATGATTTCTTCCTTACTGCATGCTTGGAAGATTTTCGAGAAAGTTCAAGATTGCTGATTTTTGAAATGTTCTGCCGTATTCATCAGTGCATCTCAATTGAAATGCTTGCTGAACGACTCAACATGCAAGAGGTATACATCTTGGATAATTTGGCAATTTCGAAGCAGCACTACAGGACAGGAGTTTCGTTACAAAGAGCTTATTGTGATAAAAGAGAAAGAACGGAGGAGGAAAATGGAGTAAGAAGCCTGGTACTTTTTTAAGTAGATTTCCTGAAGATTAGAGCCGAAAAAGATGAATTCAACAAACCTTTCCCACTCAACGGGATTATTTGAGCAACTGTTAATTCATAATTCCTGTAACTTTGAGCAGTGCTGCATCGACCGCTGACGATCTTGGCATTCTTCTCCCGAAGAGACTGTCAACTTAAACATTCTACAGGAGGAAGAAGCATTTAGCAAGGCTGTCTGGAATACTCTGCAAAAAAACATTCTTTGTTTTTTAGATGGAAGCGGAACGATGGATTGTGGATTTGATTCGGACCTACCGCATTGAAGGAGCTAAAATAGACTCGAAGCTAGGACAGGTACCTTTCTTCCCCTTAACTTGAAAGCTTCATTGCACTGCACTTATTCTACTCACTTTGGCCCCCTTTGCTCACAGTAGGACAGGTTTAGCATTAGTTCCGCCTCTCCTCCCCCCTCCCGAGAGTTTGCAACTATGTCGATGTTAGTTTTTCTGAGATATCTTTTCAAATTTGTTGTATCTGATGTATGGCCAAACGTACTGAAATGAGACTACCATTCAATGGATTTGAGACTACCGTTTTAGGATGAATACAACACGGATGAGGAGAAAAGTTTTTGGAAGAAATTTTGCTTAATTTAAGGTTGTAATGGGCGCGAAGAGTACTTCGGTGCATGAGCAAGTGATGGAAAACACAAAACGGCTAACATTTCGAGCGCAGCAAATTGCGTTACAGCTTGAGAAATTGAGACTGGACAAGAAGGTAAGCTTCCCCGCGTCTTCTTCCCTAACAACTTATTTTTCCGCTTTTCAAAAAAAAAAAACTTTTTCCTCGTCTCTTTTTGTGCGTTCTTGCGGTGCAGCGCTAGAGCCGCTGCAACAGGAAGCGAAAATGCATTTGGCTTAAAACTGGTGCATTTCCTGAGCCAGTTGCTTTTTTTATTCGCTTTTTTTCATTCATGGTTGCATCGGGCAACTTTCAGGGAGCATGGAAAGCTGATTTATCCTGAAAGTGACCTTTGGCGACTGGTGCGTTCTTGTTCTTCAAGCATCCTACTGTTTTTTGAATGATGTTTTGGCTCTTTCGGTCGCAAGAGCATGATTCACGGTCCTGTGAGCCATGATTTCGTATTGTCATGAATATACTGATGTCCAGGACCGCATAATTTCGTTTGTCATACACTCTTAATCAGAATGTCGTGGGACGGGACATTACTAGTTCATCCCCTGGTTTATGTAACAAAGAAAAATGAAGGTGTTAGTGACAGTATATATATACATATATATATATATAAAATACATTTTAAAGAAATTGTCTTTAGGATGTTTATCCCTGACCCACTTTAGTGCTGCTCTTTTTTTGTTGATTTTGCTGCAGTTTTGTGTAATTTCGGGGTTTTTGAGCTGTATCCTCATGTTGGGAGCTGTGTCCGGTTTTCGTGTTTTGTTTTTTTTGCTCTTCGCTTTGTTAAGCTTATAAGAAATGAAACTAACCATTTTCCTTTCGTGTTCTACAAGAAATTCCAGTGCGTTCACCTCATCGTAGAAGGAATTTGGTTGCTTTTTATTCCTTCTTGCTCACTCAGCAGCATCTTATGTGTCTAAGACTCCTGGAAGTCTACGTTGCTAGGCGGAGTGATTTTCCGCACTTCCTGAAAGCCACCATCGATTTCAGTTCCGGATTATCTGGCGATTAGCGGTTATTTGGCATCTGGCCTGACCTGACCGTTGCCATCGGCGCACTGCTGAGGGCACAGTTCTCTCATTCTTTGGGATATAACTCACTGTCCGAAACGGATTTTCTCAAAGGCTGGTCCTTTTCCCAAAGATTTCAAGTGTGATGGACAGGGCGCATTTTCTAGAATATTTTTTTCGCAAGCAATCGGAGAATAGTTTAAAAATATTTCATTAAAAAATGCGAGATCGTTGTTGGGGATTGACTTATCGAGTTGGCCATTAAAAAAATCGTTTCATTCGTCGGTGTGCTCATCGATGATTGCAACATCTTCAGCAATTGTTACCAACGCACTGCTGCTGTCGCTTGCGATTGTTTTGGTAGTACTACTTCCGTTTCCATTGCCAACACGGCGAGCGCCAGTGATCTCGCTCGATGACGAATAGAAGTAAGTTGATTCATCTACAAAATGAGGCGCAGACCACAATCCCAGCAGTTCTTCAGGATTGTAAAGAACGCACAATTATGTTTATGCGACAAATTACTGCACACTGAATGCACGCTACAAAATACAAGAGTGATTATCCCTGAATGATTCCCTCTAGGACTGGTTCTTCCTCAACACATATGGGTTTTTACCGTTTCCATGAGTTAAGTTGGTAAGTAAGTTATTGTGGCCTAGAAGTGATGACACTCCAAAAAATGTGGAAATGCTCGATACATAAACACACACCAGTGCTGAAGCCTTGCATATGTATTTCTGTGTCGAGTAAATCGCTGGACGATTTATTCGACACAGAAATTCGTATGCAATGCTCTGAGGAGCAAAAAGAATGTTATTCATGTACCACTGACGAGATTAGCCAGGCAATGCAGCATTGGTCAGAGGAGGGCAGTAATACGAAACATATTCTCTTTTAATTTTGTAGCCCCTAGTTTGTGGCTTTCATCAAAATTTAACTTATATTTGCCCGATGCATTTTTCAAATTCTGACGTACTTTTGACCATGTTTCTTTGACATAATCTGCTACGTTATCTTCATAGGTTCGCGTATCTGCATAGTTCTGGCGCGGCATACACAGAGAGTTAAATTGTTAATAGAATTTGGATCCATGCCGTGGACAAGAAAGAATGAAGCCTGGAGCGTTGCTTCATTGAAAGATGTATTATATAACCTAGGCTGGAACGCACCAGGCGAGCCGGAGCGATCATGCGTTTTTGCAAAAAACTTGAATTAG